GAATGGGCGCTGGCAAAGTTGGAGGAAGATCCACATTTTTATCGAAAAATTGTGTTCAGCGACGAGGCTCATTTCTGGTTGAATGGATACGTAGCAAAATTGCCGCATCTGTGAAGACCAGCCACAAGCATTGCAAGAGCTACCGAAGCATCCCAAAAAAGTCACTGTTTGGTGTGGATTATGAATCGGTGGCATCATCTGGCCGTACTTCTTCAAAGACGACAAAGGCCGGACGTTACTGTGAATGGCGAGCGCTACCTTGTGATGATTGACGACTTCGTCTTGGTTTCAACAAGACGGTGCCACATGCCACACGGCACGCGAAACAATGGCCCAATTAAGAGTCGCCTTCGGTGAACCGTTTATCACACGTTTGGGGCCCAGATCGTGTGATTTAACGCCTTTGGATTATTTCTTGTGGGGTCATGTTAAAGCTTATGTCTACAGGGATAAACCAGTAACGACTGATGCGCTGGAAGGCAATATTGAAGAATTTATACGTGAAATTCCGGTCGATATGTTAGAGAGAGTGTGCCAAAATTGGACCATGCGCATGGGCCAGATAAAGCGGAGCCGCGGACAACATTTGCATGAAATCATATCAGGCATTAAATTATATTGATCGTTTTTTCGATTATAAAGGTTTCATCAATTTTTAGTATTGTTTTGAAAATCAAATCCTATACCTCTTGAAAAATCACTCGTTACCATCAACAGTTAATATTATATAGCGTCATTGGAGCGTTTGAAGGTCGAAACTGCGGAAAAACAACCCCAACGCATTTTCATTCTTAGCCCCGGGACTTTACAGCCCAGATGTTACGAATGAATCACTACAATCTCTAAGAAGTACTCATACATGATCTCATTTCGTAGATTCTCACCTGGGTTATATCAGCACTTTTCTTGTTATAATCTCTCTTCACAGTGATTACCGGATACCCAGTCTGCAACGTCCAGGTATCCATAATAACTTTGACCGTTAAATTCTTCGGCAGAACTTTAGTTTTATGTGCTTCTTCTGTAAGACATTCCCAGAGATCGTCCTGCTCTGCATTACTGAACTTGTGCTTCCTCAAGTAGTTGCTTACTCCTTTCCTAAGTACACCTTCACTCAAAAACAGACTCATCATCCTTATGAGAGAGGAACCCTTTTTGTAAGAGATTGTGTCGAATATTTCGTCTATTTCCTTGGGGTCTCCAATCGGAACTGATACCTGTAGCAAAAATGTATTTTTAGACTGCAAAGTTGAATTATTGAAAAAAAAAATCGTGAACTAAATTCAAAAACTCGTCGTTGAGTCATAAAATTATAATCAGTTGGAATGCTATCAAGAAACAAATCATTGTAACCCTTCTTGGTACTCACAGGATGCGAAGTCATCAATGAATCAAACGAAAACACACCCAGGAGGTTATCAGCAGCTTCTTCCTGCAAAGAATTCCATTGTGGGAATAGTTCCTCTACTGCTAAACTAGCCATGTATGTTGCAAAGCCTTCGTTCAACCACAAATCAGTCCACCATTTCATGGTAACCAAGTTGCCGAACCATTGATGAGCCAACTCGTGGGCAATAACACTAGCCACGCTGTGCTGGCTGGTTTTGGATGAAACTTTTGGGTCGTACAGAAGGTATGCTTCTCTGTAGGTGATCAGACCCCAGTTTTCCATGGCTCCGGCGCTGAAGTCGGGGATGGCGACCATATCTTGTTTTGGAAGAGGGTATTTGATGTCGAAGAATTTCTCGTAGTATTCCAAAGCTTTAGGTCCAACTTCCTTGGCGAAATCAACCTGAAATCATTTAAAAGATCAAGCACTTTTCAATGTCGGTAGATTACTGAAAGAACATTGGAGATACTAGTGATTCTCCCTACATTTCTACATATATTACAACTAGCTGACGCGGCAAACAATAACACTTACAAATGATATCATTGTCTCAATGCTATCGGGTGTACAATATTTTCAGTTAGTTCATGCTTAGCTAACACAAACTGGATGGTTAGCCCACTCGAGAGCATGCCACATATAATTGTCCGTGTGATAAACATGGTGTGCTCAAATCCAAGCCACAAACGGACATTGTTTGGCCTATTAATAGCCATTGCAAATGCCAATCTAATTGGAAATTGCACGTGTTTGAAATGATTTGACACATATGTACTTATAATAGGTATTCGTGATATTAATATATTTTCACCTCGGAACTTGCCGTTTAAAATGCTGGCTTCTTAGACGTTTTATATTGATTTTCAAAGACTAATCGCGTCCGGTTGCACAGCCGTGGTGGATTCAAATTACGGAGCGATCCATTCCTCAACTGCAAATTATGCGGTGGCAGAGTTCCAAAACTCTGTTGGATAATTGACAGCATCGGTGGCATCGCAAACTGTATCTACTGTCGATGGATAAACAATAATAGTGGTCGGAAACTGTGTAGGGAATGAGAGAAGGCTTATTGTTTGAGAGAGGCAGGAGACCGACTTCGTTGTTATCCCTACTTCGTACTGTTTACTAAGTGGGAAGTGACACCGGTAGACGCCTGGCGGCAATAACTGTTGAAAATGATTAAATCAATAATAATAATAAAGCGACTTCATTGACTTTTTGATGGAAGTGGCAACGCGGCAATGCTGAAAATATTTTAGATCGATAGAACAGGTAAGGAAATGTGAGAGGTGAAATTTTCAGAAAAATCATGCTTTTCATTTTCCAGAAACGTCTAACCTACCAACGACCGTGAGTCACGCTGTATAGCTTAACCCCAATGCACATGGGGTGATTCTTTGATACTGTCAATCTACTATAAGGTTGAAGTAGTTGAGAGTTATTTCTGGTGAAATGTTCATGGATTTAGTACAATTAACTTGATGTAAAGTTTCATTATTTAATCTAACCAAATAGCTTTTATCAATTGCTGTATTTTTAGTAACAAAGTTGAGCATTTGAGATTTAGCAGCAGGTCATTTATAGAACACCACTCAGAAATTTGATCAGTTACTTCATTAGCTTTGACAATTACATTTTTATCGATAGCAGAACACGCAAAGCACGTCTCAACTTTCATGGTAGGGTAGTTTTCAATGGTTTCTGTATCTCCAGATTTGTGGATACAGATTAATTTGCTTCCAGAATTCAGGAAAGGTTCCCATGGATGAAGAGAGTTGAATTCATTTATAGAATGTAGAGAATGATATATAAGGTTTGCTTACCTCCTGCAGATCCTTTTCGTCTGTCATTTGGTTTGCTAAAGAAGAAAGATAACGACTGATCCTCCTCTTGTTTGGTTGTAAGCTGAAAATTATTAAGTATGTAGAGAATATAAGTAACACCCTTCCTTGAAAAAATGATTTGACGTTTTTTGAAAACTAAAACAAAATCTTTGTGACATCTCATCTTTTCTTTTAAAGAACTTTATTCAGATAATGCAATGAACAGTATTCGAACTAGCAGCACTATCAAAAAAAAAAAATCCAAAGCAGCACCAATATGCTGGTCTCGGAAAACCAGCTAAAAATAGTATAATAATACTTTATACTGTACAACAGAATAATACTATCGAAATTCACTCGAGAATCCATAATACAAATGTAAACAAAATAAAATCTAATAGTAATTGATACAGAGAAATGAAAAGATTTAAGCTGTTCCTTCATTGAGTATAAAAACTCTTTATTTTATTCTTAAGTTTATGTTTGAGGAATCTATTGTATAGCGAAACACGTGTCGCGGTTTTTGCAAAACCCTTTATAGTGAAAATCATACAATAAATTGTATTACTGAGTTTTTTTCATGTTTTTCTGAGAGAAGATTATAAAAGTAGTCTTCTTTACATTGATCTGAAGTTTATTCTGTGATACCTTTCAAAGTCTGTATTTACTAGTGTTTAGAGTTGTTTCAAGTCTCTACTCTTATATTCAAGAGCAGTATCATCTGCGAATTTAAAGTTCTACCTATAATGTTAGCAGTTTTCACTGACAGAACATTTAATGTATAGAATAGGGGTCCAAGGACTGGGCCTTGGGGCACACCTGCTTTGGTAGTTTCAGTTTGGCTTGAAATGCAATCAACCAATGTGAATTGTTCGCGATCTAGAAGATATGTTTTTAGTAAAGAGAGCATTTCCTCTTATTCATATTTCTTCAATTTTTTCAAGTAATTAAGAGAAATCAACAACAAAAAATTGTTTTTATAGGTCAACAAATACAGCAATAGTGTAGTGTTTATTATCCAGTGAAGAAGCAATGTGAATCATGAAATCTATAGTTGCAGTCAGGTTGCTACTATTTTCTTGGAATCCATATCCGTAATTTTCAAAGTCAACACATTTTTTCTAGTAATTGATAATGTTTCTTTAAAATACCTTCTTTTACTATTGACAGAGTCGGAACTACTGAAATAGGTCTATAGTTATCAATAATGTCATTTGGTCCTGATTTGTGTATAGGTGTTAATTTGCTGATTTTGAGAATATCTGGGAATACCGTGTTTGAAAGATTCATTTATTAATTTTATTAAAATAGGGTCAATATAACTCTTGAGTATTAAAAGATTGTTAGTATTTATGTTATCATAACCAAGTGCTGCATTTTCATTCAACTCATAAAAGCATTCATAATTCTTGAACACTTGAAAGCGTAAATTGTTTTTGCATATTCAA